GATGAGCGGTACATTCCATTCATTGAACATCGAGTGACGGAAATACCAGAGCCTAACGCTCTGACGAGACTGTGAGGGCGCTCGATCGACGTGATGATGAAGCCACTGACTGACGGAGATGGCGAGCGAAGCGGCGCTGAGGCTGAGGACAAGGGCGGAGAACCAGAGGACGTTTGTCGAAATGACATGAGCGGGCACCGGGGTATATGAAGATGCATTCAGGGCAGCGATCATCGGCTGCATGGCATCCGTACCGTCATTCATCTGTGCTAAAGTGCCGATCATAATAAGCATGGCCAGTGTATTGGGATCGAGCGGTTGCGGCTGGAGATTGACGTAGTATTGGACGTTGAAGGCGGTCAGTGCGGCAGAGAACAGACCAGCCTTTGTTGTCTGCATTCAGCTGCTGTGGGAGTCCGTGAGGCGAGGTAACCACTCACAAAAGTCAGGAGATTGCTGATTTCGTCCTTCCACTTCTTGACGAGCAGCTCCTCTCTCTTCCACACCTGTTCTGCGCATAGAGTCCACGCTTCGGTTACCTCTGTGGCATCTGAGCGTTGTGAGTCGGGTCTGTGTACCTCTCCTGCGGCGCTAGCTTCGCTGACTGTCGAATATACCTTGCCCTATAATATTTCGGCAACGACGTTAGTCCGACATCGCGATATATCCTAAAATATTTAGTACCTGTGGAGGAACGTATGATAAATCACCCAATGTTCTTGCTGCTAGCTTTCCGTAATCTGCGGCTGCGCTTCGCACAGGTGCGTCTGTGATTGTTCGGGAGGACCTGCGGGACCCGTCCTGCTTCCTTCTTAGCGAGACACTTTCAGGCAGGAAAGATGGGAGCACACCTTCACGAATGTTACCCTATGCTGCTCAATTGTTGCTGGGGTGTCAACGGCGGAGGCACGAGCTTCAATGAGAGCATCGAATGTCATACTATCCCGCGCGTCAGTATCTTCCTGTTTTCCTCTTGTCAGCGGTGTTCGTCATATACTCACAGCCGATACTGATACATACAATAGTGGCATTGGACGAGGAATCATCGCGTGTGTCATCTGGACTGGACACAACAACTTTCTTGAGCAAGGTCTCCCTTGATGGAGATTCAGCTTCCTGGGGACGAGTCGCTACAGTGACGCTGGCGCCGACGTAAACACGAGAAAGGACCTCGCCCTTTCCAGAAGAAGAAACCTTTTGAGCCGCGCTATCCACAAAAGTACTTCTCCTTGAACGGTGAGAGCTTCGAGGAGAGCGATTGATGCTCATAATGTGCTTGCTATGAGACGTGCTAGAGGAATAAAAGCAGGGTGTCACGAGTTGGCACGGCGTCTAGCCGTTTTTTAATTTTTTCCTTTTCGCGGGCTCGAACCCGCGACCTCTGTACTACCTGCCTGATATGGACGCGTCACTATCTACTGTACGATTAGATTAGATGGGGCGGCAGCGCACGGCACAGCTCGGGCCCCGCTGACACAGCCGCTCTGACTCACCGGCCCCCGGGGCCGCGTCGGCATACTGCGCACGGACCAGCTGCGCACGGACCAACGTGCACAGCCTGCCCTAATCTCCCCATGTATATAAGCCGGCCTCTGCTGCCCTAGGGACCTCAGTTTCGACCTCTTGTCCCTAGGTCAGTAAGCTCATGTATTACTTACCTACTTACCAATGCTAACTTATCTTGTCCCTAGCCTTAGGTTTGAGCTTAGCTCACCATCGCTTCGGTGAGAACTAGTCGAACGCCCCCCGCTTTCAGGTATTCCCCTGTCACTTGACCTCAAGTCACGACATTAGGTCGAAACTCCATAGCGGCCGGCGTTCATCGGAACCCAAACACTCACACTCACTTCCTACAGGTCGGGTGGTGCGCACCCCTACGGTACATTACGATACGTAGATAGCGTACATACATCGCCACCACTTAGGGAACGAACTCTTCAGTACCTGCACTTCAGTGGGCGGTACTTGTCCTTACGAACGCGTGGACTAGGTTCCTGCTGCATAATAGTCAAAAGCAGTACTGGGCCCCACGTGAACTGCGAACCCTAGTGTCTTCTCGGGCGCCGTAGCATAAGCTAGTATAGCACGGTCATTGTAGTACGCGCACCTCCCCGTCCTCCTCCCATCCATCATGGCTGCTTGTCAGGGCCAGATCCACGCATTTGACTCGTAGGATCTCATCGACGTCTACATCCCAGACGGCCCTGAGACTGTCCTCTACCGTTGCGAGCAGCAGCCGTGCCCAAATCGGACACCCCGATCGATCGAGGAAGATTACCCTCGTTACAAGGCGATCTGACGAGCGCAACACCCGCTCGGACCCCGAAGCACTCTCGCATCTCGATCGGCCTCGCGGCACTCTCGCCCTGTCTCCCCTACCTCCCGCCTCCCTCAAACTGTCGCCAATCAAGCGCGAGGAGATATCCCTCCAGACCCTGCGCCAGAGCTTGAGCCTGAGGAGGGTGACAGTGAAGAAGGAGTCTCGGAGTCCGAGTCCGCGGATCCTGCTCGGCCCGCCTCGCCGACAGCGCTCACCTCCGCGTCAGCAGTCCCTGACGTACGTAACCCCTCTGCCGAACTTCCTCCGGCGCCTTCACCGCCGACTCCGCCGAGAGGCCGCTCGAGCACTCACTCCTCCCGAAGTTCGGCCAGCGGAAGGCCACCACAGCCGCCTCCGCCCCCGCAGCGTCCTCCGTCCCCCCCGACGCCGATAATGTCGTCCCCCGCAGCCGCCCTCGACAAGGAGACGTTAAAACTCCTACTCCCACTCCGATACGATGGCAAAACCGTCATCGATTGCGACAGGTTCTTGTCGCAGCTGCGCATCTACTGGATGGTCAACACGTCGTTGACCACCATCGAGCTCAAAGTCCAGGTTGCACTAAGCCTGCTCGACGGTGATGCCCGCGCCTGGGCCACCCCCTACTTCGCCCAGCTCGTATCAGTGCAGATAGGGGTGCAAGGGGCTACGACCCCATTTGCAAACGAAGCGGCCTTTGCCGCCGCCTTCAAGGCCCGCTTCGGAAATCTCGACGACGAGGCGGCAGCACAAGTAGAGCTGGCGAAGCTCTGCACGGACAAGTCGGTCCGTGAAAAACGCACCGCTGCGGAATTCTCCGTGCTGTTCAAGGGTCTGGCGGACCACTCTGGGTATGGGGACCTGGAGCTACGCGACAAGTACCTGAGCGGCATCCCCTCCCGCGTATACCGAAAGATCGAGCTCGAGACTTTCACCACGTGGCAAGACGCTGACAAGCGCGCCACTGAGGTCGAGCAGATCCTCAACATTAGCCGGGCTCGTCGGCCCAAGCTAAATAACTTCTTCTCGGCCCGGGGTCGAGGACGCGGTGGGGCACGTGGTGGTGCACCCTCGACGCACGCAGCTTCGGCCAGCATCAATGCGGCCGTCGGAAAAGGAAACTTCCCCGGCACATGCTTCGGCTGTGGGAAGCAAGGGTACCGACGTTTCGAGTGCCCTAACTGTAAGGACAAGCCTTACACAAAACGCGCCGACGCGTGGGCTACGGTTGCCTCAGGCTCCACCCAGGCTGCGACAAGCACCCCCATCGCTTCACCCTCGGCAAGTATAAGTGCTGCTTCAGCGAAATCCGAGCAATCAGAGCTGGTGGACTTAATGGCACAGGTGAAGTCGATGCGCGAGGAGCTCGAGCATTATCGGGCAATGAAGGAGGAGGGTTTTTGATCCGGTCCGCGCTTCGTGCCGCACGCGTCGGGCCGCGAGTATCATCTTGTAACAGGTATAATGTATTGTCTACTGCGATGGTGTACGAATTGGACCAGGGGTCCCAACACTTTCACATCCCAGTTCGACTTCAAGGGAAAAGACGGCACAAAGACATAATCGCTATGGTGGACAGCGGAGCCACCACGAAGTTCATCAACAAGCGATTCATTATTGAGAATAAGGTGCAAACGCGGAAGTTGAAGGAACCAATTCTGCTGTACAATATCGACGGCACCCTAAACAAAGACGGAAGCATCTCGGAGGTAGCAGTGCTACAGATGCAGATAGGAGAGCACATCGAGAAGACGGTGTTTACGGTCACGGACATCGGTCCAGAGGATGTGATCGTCGGGTTGGATTGGCTGCGAGAGCACAACCCCGAAATCGATTGGGAGTCAGGCTCCCTGAAATTATCACGATGCCCTGAAACGTGCAGTGCCAGGAAGGCTGGCCGGATGGAGCAAGCAGCGACTGCGCGTGATATGGGGGTCAGGCCCACAGCGCGCAGACGCTCGCAGAAGTCCAGACGGTCAGTCATAGGTGCTTGCCGGAGTAAGGTACTCCCGGACTTTGAACCTGAAGAAGATCCGGCGGAAGTAGAGTGGGATGAGGCCGATTTGATCGAGGCCTGGGAGCAAGGCATCACGCTTCCCGGCGCTCCTCAGCTGTTCGTTGCAGCAGGGCACACGTATTCCCAGCTGTTCGCTGAAGAGGAGATCAGAAAGAAGGTCGTTAAGACCGCCGAGGAGTCGGTACCTAAACAGTACCACGAGTTCCTGAATGTCTTCTCCAAGGAAGCATCAGAATGGCTACCCGAAAGGAAGCCTTACGATCACGCGATCGAACTCGTGCCCGGCTACTCAACGTTCCACTCGAAAGTGTACCCCCTGTCGAATAATGAACAGGAGGAACTTGACAAGTTCCTGAAGGAGCAGTTAGCGAAAGGTTATATACAGGAGTCGAAATCACCCATTTCGTCCCCCTTCTTCTTCATCAAAAAGAAGGAAGGGACACTTCGACCCGTGCAGGACTACCGCCGATTGAACGCAATCACGGTCAAAAACCGCTACCCTTTACCGCTGATCGCCGAGATGGTAGATAAACTCCGCGGCGCCATGCTCTTCACCAAGTTCGATGTCCGATGGGGATACAACAACGTCCGGATCAAAGCCGGTGACGAATGGAAAGCGGCCTTTGTGACCAACCGAGGATTGTACGAGCCCTTGGTGATGTTCTTTGGCCTCACCAATTCCCCCGCGACCTTCCAGGCGATGATGAATGAGATCTTCCACGATCTCATCGTCGGTGGCAAGATCCTCGTATACCTTGATGACATACTCATCTTCTCTACCAACAAGGAGGAGCATGAAAAGGTCACACGCGAGGTTCTGCGCCGCCTTCAGGACAATGATCTGTTCCTGAAGCCTGAGAAGTGCGAATGGGACGTTCCCAAGGTCGACTATGTCGGCTATGTGTTTGGTGGCGATGAGGTAGCAATGGATCCCGCGAAGCTAAAAGGAATTAATGAGTGGCCGGTACCCCGGAACAAAAAGGACGTCCAGAAGTTCCGGGGGTTCTCCAACTTCTACCGCCGCTTCATTAAGGACTTCGCTAAGATCTCGCGACCACTCGACCGGCTCACAGGGAACGACCCATGGCATTGGGGTGAAGAGGAGCAGCACGCCTTCGACGAGCTCAAGCGGCTCTTCGCGACGACTCCAGTCTTGGCGCTGTACGACCCTAACCGGGAAACGCGCATTGAAGTCGACGCCTCGGGCTACGCCACTGGCGGTGTGTTGATGCAGAAGCAGGACGACGGCAAATGGCACCCCATTGCCTACCGATCTCACGCTATGGACCCAGCCCAGCGTAACTATGAGATCTACGACAAGGAGATGCTTGCCATCATTGAGGCGCTAGACGATTGGCGCCACTACCTCGAAGGGTTACCCAATCAGTTCGAGATCGTTACCGATCACAAGAACCTCGAGTACTGGCGTACATCTCAGCATCTCACGCGTCGTCAAGCGCGGTGGTCGCTCTTCCTGGCTCGCTTTGACTTCCGCATCACGCACAAGGCCGGAACGTCGAATGGAAAGGCTGATGCCCTGTCGCGACGATCGGACCATCAGATCGGTGATGAGGACGATAACACTGATCAGGTAGTTCTCAAGCCGGAGCGTTTCCGCATCGCCTCCGCCAGACGCGGCCATGCCTCGGTGACGGCCGATCAGTCGCTTCTGAAGCGCATTCGGGAGTGTTCGGAAAAGGATCGGGAGGTGGCCGAGGCACTTGAAAAAGTACAGGACCTCGGGCCGCCCCGGCTTCAAAGGGGCTTTGAGGAGTGGAATGCCGAACAAGGGCTCCTGCTGTTCCGCGGGTGCGTGTACGTCCCAAAGAACGCGGAGCTCCGGCGGGATATCGTTAAGATCCACCACGACTCGCCGATCGCCGGTCATGGTGGGCGTGCCAAAACCCTGGAGCTCGTGTCGCGGAATTACTGGTGGCCTGGGATGTCCAAATT